AGACATGATTCAGCAGCAAACCCTAACGGTCATCATGTCGTGAGCAGCAGCAGCAGCAGCGGCAGGAGTACGAGTATTGCAAGGGAAGGAGGATNTCTTGCTGTAGGTGCCCAAGCAAGTGCAGGAGTGCAGAGTTGTCGTCAACTGCATCTGGTGGCAAGAGCTAACTCCGCTGTAAATACTCCGGAAAGTTATGCCTTTTTCTAGATTCATTCGTGGAATGCTGCTGTATAGACATGATTCAGCAGCAAACCCTAACGGTCATCATGTCGTGAGCAGCAGGAGCAGCAGCGGCAGCAGTACGAGTATTGCAAGGGAAGGAGGAGAACCACGTGCTGCGGACAGCATATCTTTCGATCGCGTTCGTAACTATGTGTCATGCCCTACTGCAAAATTAAAACACCACCGGCCAAAAATAGCCCGCATCAAACACACTCTGATGAGCACATCTAACTCAGCAGCAACGAACGCCCCATCAACCGTTGCGAGGGAATCTCTCTGTCATCTCCTTCGCGGGTGTACGCTGATCTGATGAGTACAGCAGTCACGGCATTGGGTGTACGAGCCACACGGCAGCAACGTGCGTGTGGGATGACAGAGCGCGCACCAGTACACTGCTGTACAGCAGCTGCTTGCGTGGTGTGCGTGATGTGTGTGGGTGTTCTGCAGTGTGCCGCTACCAACAGGCTCTGCCACCGGCCCTTTCCTGCTCTCGGTGTTGCCTGCGAGCTATGTCGTGGGGGCGTGTACCTGTTTTCGTACAAGGTCGCGCAACATTACCGACGAGAAGCGCCAACACCAAAAAACCGCCTTTTTCCCTGGCATGGAATACTCGCATCTTGGTTAAGGGGAAGGGGCGGGGGGGGGGAGGGGGAGCACCTGCATGGTTGCCCATGGCCGTCCATGTTTGGTTTTGATGTGATACCTGAAGAGTTCGTTCCCCCCTTACTGTCCTTGCAAATTCCTTCCGTTTTCGTGTTCATGCATGGCATTCCGTGGTTTGTACGCCGAGAATTCCTTTGTGAGCAAAAAATACACCCTTTTTCACGCATGAATGGCGTGCCCTTGACACACTCGCGTGAAAGCAACAGCCAGTTGTTGAAGCTGCGATCGTGGCACACAGACAGGATATACGTTTCGACTGACAGGGGGTAGGGATTACTGCCATCATGAATCGTCGGAGCCCCTGGAGCAACAAGGTGGACTCGGTGCTACTGCTGTTGTGCCCAGCGTTGCCGGTGTGCTCAGCTGCGAGGCCAGTGTCGAAGAGCGCCGTCTGCAAGAGGGTGAGAACTATCCTAGTTTTGTTCCAAGCATCTCTTGAGCTCCAGTTCCATCTCTGCTCTGTGTGCTGTTCGGCACAACGCACCAACAACTATTCAAGTTCGTTCAAATTATTGTGCCGACTACTAGTCTACATGCCTCCAATACAAAAGCAGGTTTGTATCCCCAACACCCAACTGAAGAAGTCCTGCATCTGTCGATACGATTGCTCCAGCCCGCGCCAACACAATATGAGCGCCGATTATCGAGGACGACATGCCACTGACACACGCTCTCTCTTTGGTCGATGAAGTACGCTCACCATCAGAAATTCGACTGCTGTGCTGTTTTATGCCAGCCATGTGTGGTGCCACCTGGAATCTTCGAGTTCTGTACGCCGCGATCACACTGCTGTACTTGAAGTATTATTCCTTCATACCGTGGGTGACATAATATCTCACACCCCCGCTCGACGGATATTCAACAACGCTCGATTTGTCCACAAAAGAAAGGCTGACGGTGTCGAAAAGGACCGCGTTAGAGCCGTCTCGTCCGAGAGCTTTGTTGTCATCCATGTATCCTCGTCATGGCATCAACATGTCAGTCGAGCTTTGAAATTGGTCCATACTACTGCTGTAGAGTGCGTTTTTTGTTTTCGTCTCATCTCTGGCGCCGCCTGCTTCCTACTCTTCGTTGCACACTACAATACACGTTTTACCGCGTATGTGCACTTCCACTTCTCAGCGTACTTCGTACATAACAACTATTTATAATCGCTAGCCGCCGTTCGGGGTCACACAAGAGGGGGTACCCACGCCGGGGTTTTCTCTTTATCTCCTATTGTCCTCTCCTACCTGCTGCGGTGCCTGTCTGAGATAGTTGTATCGCGAGAGGAGTACAGCAATCCCTTCCCTCGCGACGGCTGAGTAGATGTTGACGATGAACTCGATCAGTTTACTAACGACGAGTTTTGAAGCGCGTCGCTTCCAGCTCAGACCAGGATATATTTAGAGAGAAAAATCTCACTGTGCCTGGACACGAACCATTGACGTGGCCATTAGGAGGCTGCGAGGATACCCACTAGACCACCGGGGCGACCGTTTGTACCATCACCAACGGTGTGCTGTACCATCGTATTGCGCGACAGCATCTGGCTCGGCTACGGTAATATCTGGTACATAGGTGGGGAGAAGTTGGTAGTCCAGCGCAATGCGCTGCCCACGAAGTATTTTCTGTTGTAGATGCGTTCAATGTGAAGCCAAATGTACTTCGTGCAATACAGAACGCGCCACCACTTAAGAACTTAGCAGTTGAGAACTTGAGCCTCAAACAATCCAAAATCTAAAAGGTTGGCCATAGGAACATTAACTCAGTTCCGACGTGGTATTAAGAACAAGAACCCGCCCTCATCGTGTACCAATGGGCATTCGGATAAGAACGGAGCCCCAAAACGCGGCGGCTGCAAGATAAGAACTCAGGAGGTTGGGGGTGACCCAAACAGCAAGGGTAGGTTTCAGATTCGAGCCGGGAGGGTGGAGAGGACCTCCTGATAATATGCTTGTACGTGCGGAGGGGGAGGACGTACTCTCTCACATGTTTCGTATGCCTTCGCGGTTAGACCATTGACCAACGTCCTCGAGAGGACGCATCCATGTTCCAACAGGACCGATCACTGATGCCAATCGTTCCTTCCCACTTCGAAGTACTTTTGTCACACGTGGCTAAAAAATTGTTCTCCCTAGCCGATCTACCCTATCGATATCACTTGCCGCCTTTTCAACCCACTTTCTTTGCCCCAGTACAGCTACCGTCTTCTGGCTTTCCCACGCCTCAAACATATCCCTGTACCGTTCCTTCTACGTGTCCAACCATGTAAATTTCTCTGTCCTTGTCGCCCAACACGGAAGTTTCGCAACATGAACCCGGTCTTCGCACTCCGAGCCGCATTCACATTTGAAGTCGTCTTCATCGTCTACCTTCCTGAATCTTCGTCAACGTTCTCAAAGGCCGTTATCCCCAGTCCTTAGTTTGACCTTCGGCGTTCTCCCTGCATCCGTTGGTCCATGTAGGTACCATACCTTTGTCAACATCCGTACACATCTAGACCCTCCTTGTCCTTGGATCCTTTTGTTATTTCGTGTTCTCTATCGGCGAAAGCAGCAGATTTCTTGTTCTCGAACCCCTCTAGGCCTATCGTTTGGTTCCAATGTATAATCCAAATCGATTTTGAACTCTTCCTACGCCATCTACAACATCATTCCACTCCCTGGGTTGATGCCTCCATTCTTCTTGCTTGTACACTTCGCCTCTCAGGGTTCTCTCGGCAACTTCTCCTTTTTCACATCTTACAACATGCGGTCTACTCTCCATTCCAAGTTACTTCCGCCTCTTCCTGATCGTAGGAGTTGGATCCGAAGGGGGGGCGAACTCTCTCTCTTTCTCATGTTTTGGAAGCCTCAGTGGTTTGACCGTTGACCACGCGTCCTCAACAGGACGGAGCACTGTTCCCGCAGGACCGACCACCGAGGACCAATCGTTCCTTGCTACTTTGCCAAAAAGGTGGCTTAAAACTGTTTTCCTATCGGTGTCACTTTCCGCCTCTTCAACTCATTTCGTATGACCCAGTACAGCTACCGTCTTCTCCTGGCTATACAATCATCTCTCTGTACCTTGTCCTACTTTTTTCCCAGCTAACTCAGTCGTGTACATCTCCTTCTTGTTCAACGGACATTCCGCCTGTACATGAACATGGTCTTCGCTCTCGGACCCGCAATCACACCTGGATTTTCGTCTTCATCGTCTATTTTTCTTAATCTTCGTCTACGGCCAATATCCCCAGTCCAAGTCTGACCTTCAGCTTTGTCTCTGCATCCATTGGCCCATCCCTGTAGGTACGTACTCCTTAAATCTATTCCTTTTTTAGTATTCTGTACACATAGAGAACCTCCGTATCCTTGGTTTCTTTGATTTATTTATGTTTTCTCTCGGCAAAAGCAACAACTGACATCTTCTCCTTAAACCCCTCTATTCTAGACCTCTCCCTCTAGTGTATCATCTTCGTCAATTTCGACCCCCTTCCATGCTACATCTACAACATTGACTCACTCCGTAGGTTGGTACACCAATTTTTGTTGTTTGCCCACTTCGTCTCCGAAGCTATTCCCGGCAACCTCTCCTCTCCCATACCTGACATGCGGCACTGCCATCTAGTGGGCGATATTATGGCTTCATTATACTCCTACAGCAGTAATGTATAGTGATGAAATCTACCCAGAAAGACCTGTCCGTGTCCTCTGCACAGGGCAATCGGTTTAGAAATAAGAACAAGAACCTCGTTTAACATAGGTGCATACCTGCTCCAACGAAGAACTTGGAAAATAAGAACATCTGCTCGGTTTGAGGTAGCCATTAAGCGTCGAGTCTCAAGCTAAATTACCGGTTGTTATGAGGTGGCGCTTTCTGTACCGGTGAAACAGATGACATAGCGTAGCGTGTTTTGGCCTCACACATTAACAGGGGAGGAGGCAATACTATTTCACACACCTTTTTGTCGTATGAAACGCTGTAGGAATAGCTTCTGATGTTGGCCTCGGCCCCTGAAATGACTGTTTTAGGGGACCACACCGCTACATGGGGGCCAAGGTGGAAGGCCGGATACCCCGGGAGGATCGAAGGGATTGTGTCCCGGGCACTAACCCATCTGTTGCGTTTCTTGAATTGGCATTGACTGAACTACTACTGTACATATGTAGTCGACTGGCCATTGAACATGATATGTAGTACGTGACTGTGTGATTGTTGAATTCTTAACTTCGACCGCGCGCACCGGCTATGCGATGAAAAGGCGCGTGCGCGTGTCTTCTAAGCATCGACCCCGCTAATCGACTGACCAATGAAATGGCAGCAATTAGCGGGGTGGCAAACCCGAGGAAGCATTCGAATGAGCTGGTCATCACTACAAGGGGGAGGGGGATGGAGGAGTTGGGAGACGGTGCCCTACTTCTGAAGAATAAGGAGAAGACTCGACATTTCCAAGCGTTGCTGCGTCTTCTGCTTCTCCCGGGTACTAGCCATAGTTTCGCTGCATTGGATTTCTTTCTATCCGACGTAGCTTTCCCGTCAGGGAGGTGTGCCGTGTCGCCGACGTGTCGTGTGTGTTGTCTGGAAGGGTTCTGACGCGCATGAGTTGCGTTGAACACGACGTAGCACTCATTTTTTTGTCCTCGTCAATCTGTCGATCTCGACATGCAGCAAAGCACAATGAGAATCGGAGATCATGCTCTGGTGCTGGTGTCCGCGCTGGGTTTGGGGGAGATGGGAGTGCTCGGTAAGGGTATAGCTGCGGCAAAGACTTACCAACTGGCCGTCCCCGCTGCTGAATCTGCTCGACCTCGAGGGAACCTTGGCAGCGAAAGAGGTACGCAACCGATGTCACCTGCTTGCTTTCTTGAGGAAAAATCGCTGCAAATATGTATATATTTTTTTCTCGGGGCACGCACCTGAACAGCGCGGTGCTTTAGCGAGAGCCGCGGTTGTGCAAGGTTCTGTCAAGGGGGTCTGCATCCCCCCGAACGTGGGGCGATCTGGTCATGCAGCACGTATCAGCGGTGCAAGCGTGTAGATCATAAGCTGCATCCTACGCAGCAGTAGCCTATGCTGGACCGCGGCGATGAAATTCGGCATTTGTCAACGCCGGGCCGCTTTGCTGTGCGTGAATTGACCTCAAGAATTCGAAACGATGAGAGTGTTGGGACTCTACCGGTTTTGTTTACCTTATTCATGGATGCGTGAAGCACATGATTGCGTTGTACTGTTTGTGTGTGAATTTTGCTCCATCCCTTGTTGCAGCTCTCGGCAGCAATGATAGCAGACTTGACCCTTGAGAAACCCGGAAGGTTACAGGTCAAAAGTCCCAACAAAAATCGCATCCGCTTGATTGGGAGAAACCGTACAGTCCCGAGGGACGAAGGCTGACTTGGTTAGAGGCAGAAGAGTGTCCCCAAGTGCATGGGGACGCTTTCAATACTAAAGCCAAGTCAGCATTTTTTGTTTTTTTTTCAGTTCTAGGGGATGCAGCCTTTTCCCAACAAGGGGGGGCGCGGCTTGGGAGACATGTGTACAGCAATAGGGGGCCGCGGAGAAACATCATACAGCCTACCACTTGACGCAAGCATGGTAGACCAAGGTTTACCACGCGCGTTTCACACCCGGCGAGCCAAAGGACTCACGCACGTGGCAATTCGTCTCGTTCACATCCTCTTGCATCCGACCGTAGGACAAACTTCTTCTGCCTCCGCTTGTTTTTTTCTGACAGCTTGCGGCTGCGGCAGTGCTCGGCGGTTGCACCGGGGTTTCGCTTCGAGGGGGAGGCGTGTTGCGCTGGGGTTGCGGGGAGGGGCACTCGCGGTGTCGGACCGGTACAACGCGCGGATGCAAGTCATGATAACGAGGAACATGCGAAAGGTATGTACCAAGTGAACACAAGGCCGTTCAACCTTACAATTTTGCACCACAAAATCAACGAAATGAGGACATCGTGGAGTGGTTCATGACAGAGAGGCCGCCGACAACGCCTAAGAGAAGCAGCTGTGCAGCATCTGTGTAACCACGAGGCGAAGTGGTGTATGATGTACTTTTTTTTTTTCTGTGTATCCGCCGTGGGGAAGGATGGGGAGCGTTACGGGCGTTTGTTTTTCTGCATGGCGCTTTGTTTCCAAAGTTTTGGAATGTGTCCAAAGTATGGGACCTTTGCGAAGCGAGGTCGAAGGCAACACATGTGGGAATTTTGCAATCTGGAATCTACTGTTCAAATTTTTCTGGGCCCTACTCACTTCTACTTTTTTGGAAGTTTTTCCAGAGTTTTCTAACAGTCCCAAATTTTGCGAAATAGCACTTACGTTCAATCTTTTGGACGTATTCCAATATTTGGACGTAAACAATCTGAAGAAATCAGGCTGTAAAATCTCCCCTGAAGCCCTGTTCTTGCCGGGTGCACACTGTTCAGTGCTGCGGTCTGAGCGCTGCCAAAGGCCTCATCAGATACCCGTTACTGCAATCTCCCTCGGCGCTTTGGCTGGTAATGACCATCGAGCTCGCCCGTGGACATGAGGTTGGCGACATCGGCAGCAGTACATGTAGCCACAACGGATTGGATGATTTCTGGAAACGCTACCAACCCTCTGCTGGCCTCTTTCAGAGGCAAGCGCTGCAGCCACCGGGGCAACCCTTGACATGTTCATCACTCCCGTGAAGTATTTGGCTTCAACAACATGCGACATTGTAAAGGCTCCTAGTTTCAAGCGCCACCTTACCGCTGTTGCGGCTTCGCTGCAGTAACGATGACGACGGGAATGACTGCGAAGGTCGCTCTTGGTGGCATGTCGATCCGTGTGTGGCCATCGTCTTTGGTCAGGTTTTGATGGATGAGCTCGGCTATGCCGCGGATGAGGTGGACGACATGGACCCTCAGATAGCGGCGGTCGTGATCGAGAAGTCGCTGCCCAGGCCACGAGCAGGCGAGTCTACGTAGACCACATGTCGCCATCAACCGAGCGGTTCATCTGCTGCGTTCTTGACGGAGTGTGTGTGTTCGTCCCATCTATTCTGGCGCCAGTCTCCAGGCCATTCGGCGTGTATATGGGTGCCCCGGAAGATTCTCAAGGGATGTTTTCGATAAGGGGCCTCGACTTTATATTGATGGTTCACACTTGACCTAAGAGGCTACCAGTATGTCGCACGCGGTACATTATGTCGTACGGATGCGTTCCCTTCAGGTTACATTTGGGTTGGCTTCTCATCCAACCGTCTGTAGAGATACCGAAAGAGTCGGAGAGATGGCATCCCCCATAGACCGACTTTTAAGGCTCGATTACTCCACGACCAAGATTATCTGTACCGTACCGTACACCGTACCGTGGTATTCCGTAAGAGTCGGAGAGATGACACCCCATCTAGACCGACTTTCAAAGCTCGATTACTCCACGACCAAGATTGTCTGTACCGTACCGTATACCGTACAGTGGTATTCCATAAGAGTCGGAGAGATGGCACCCCCCCTAGACCGACTTTCAAAGCTCGGTTGCTCCATACGCAAGCGGGTGCAGAAAAGAGCCCGATACGTCGTCTACGGGAAGCCCTCGACGAGATGCTTCCAGAAACACCAAAGGTGGTGCCGGCACAAGCTCGGTTGTGGAGCAATCGAGCTTTGAAAATCTGTCTTGTGCCATCTCTCCCGCCTCTTCGGGTGTGTACTCCATGTTGTCCACCCGCACGGTCTTGAACCACACGAGCTCCGATCCGGGATCGCACAGGAGAAAATGCGTCAAATGTCGAGGTTGGTGCTTTCAATACCCGGGTATGTTGGCCATCCTTCTAAAACCTGCTGTGACTTAGGGAAAAGCAAGCGATACGTTTTGCTTGGTGGCTCTCAAAGTTCGACTATCGGGCACACAGCCTTATCGTTGCGTTGTTTGTTGATCATTCGGCAGACAAGCTAGGTCCTGGTGTCGTGGCGGTTTACTACCTTTAGTCCGAGCAGTAGATGGCAACGGTGGGGGCATGCCAACAACACTCGCGTGAATCTGGTTTTGTCTTGAACCGCACTGCGTCGTGAAGTGCCCCCCCCGGTATTCGCGACCTCTGGTGTCTTGACGACATGTGACCGCTATTGAGGGTAAGTCGCTCAACTCAACTAACAATGACATAGCAATGACATAGCAATGACATAGCAGTTATTCTACCGGGGTGTTGGGGTGGTGGGCGAACAGGGAATGTCGCCAAACCGAGACCCCCACTGGACATGGATTTCTCATGGTCGAGACTAACGAAAACAATCTCTCTGAACCGTAGCCGCCGCTGTGCCATCTATAGCCGCATGCCACAGAGCTGGCGGCGTGTCTTGCACACTCAAAGCCCCCACGCCGCTTTACCCCCAAAATGTCATCGTGAACTAAATCTATCCCCTCCAGGCATGCCGATCGCGTGGCGGCGGAGCATCAGACAGACGGGGAGCTCCTCTAACCCCGTCCAACTCCTCGCCGGAGTTGTCCTTGCTGCGGTAGGGGCCGTCGTAAACGGAGTCGTGGCGGTGGCGGCGTTCCCATTTGTTGCAGCGGGGAAAGGCGTCGGGGCGGCGAAGGCGGGTGGGGTTAAGGGGGCCGCAGTGACGTTGCTGGCGTTGAGCGTGATGACGGCGGTGCTCGTGACGTCGTCAGCATCGGGTAAGGGTCGGCCGCAGCTTTTCTGGCCCTGGGTACGTGTGTGCGTAACTTTTTTTGGTATGGTGGGTGGTCCGGTTTAGTGAATATCTGGACTCAGACAGCGCCCTCAATGGTGCCGGTCCGACACTATTGAGGGCGGCCCCTCTATACTGCCGGTTGAGCACCGCGGCGCCCCGCAACAGTGCCGGTTCACTACACACACACACACACACACACACACACAGAAGAGCGGACAGACGCAACACAGAAAAAAGGCTACACGTGCTGCTGCAGACCCGAAGAGCTCTACGCAGAGGCGCACCAGGGAGGGGATAGAGCTTCAGTAGTAGTGGGTCGTTGTTTTTTTGCAGTACCCTTCCTGTCCTGTCGTGTTCAATTTTTTTTCTTTACTTACTTGCAACATTCAAGTTGTACGAGCGGGAGCTGTACAATTTTTTTTGCCGTCAAAGGTCAACCGGGTACATGATCTGTGTCTTCCTTTCGCCGTCGACTCGTGCTGTTGACCTTGACCGAAATGGTGTGATCCACGTGAGGCCAGTGCCCTTGCTTTCTTGCCCACAGAAAGTTAGGCAGCTGTTGGTGCGGTACTACTGTACGTAGTGCGTACGCATTTGAAGAGTTGGTTTGCGACATTTCAGGATGTGCAGTAGAGTTATTTAAAACTCGAAAAAATGCACGAAACCAGTGGAAGAGCCCGAAAAGTGGATGAATCGAGTTTGATATCGGAGGGGACTTTTGGGCAAAAATGCATGAATCGTGAGCAAAAATATGTTTGGGGCTCCAGAGCTCCAAGTATATGTTTGTGTTCCGAGACGAATAGACTGCTCTCCTATCTCCCTCTCTCCCTCTCCTCTCTCCTCGCTTTTACAGCAAACATCACCGCCGTCACAGCAGCAAAGACACAACACACGATCATAACAACGCCGCAACCATCGCCAGCCCCCAACCAAGCTTTCGGGCACTGTCCGGACGATTTTTTGACTTTTGTTGTGCTGCAGGTATATCAACGCGTACGTGAGGTTGCTGCATGCTGCTGCGCTCTTCATTTTCCCTCTGCCCTTCTCTCTCGTCGTGCTCCTTTCTCTTTCTCGCTTTCTCTGGTGCCGCCATCGCACGCAAGCACAGACGAATCAACGAACACAGTTTTACAAGGCCCGCCGCGTAGCTTATGGGCTGCCCCGTTATTTTTGTGGGGGGGAGGGCGGCCCTTCGAAGTCGGCACGACGGGGAGGCTGGAGGTTGTTGTTACCGTTATGCACAGGGTGGTCGTATGTGCCTGTCTGCCTGTCTTTTCTAGACTAACCTCTCTCTCGTTTTCTCCTCGGCGCAAAAAAAAAAGAAGGAGGACCAACGGTTTGTTTTCATCAACGTGCCCGATTGCCAACATACAGAGTATCAGCTAGCGTGGGTCGGGGGTGCTCTTGGCAAGAGACGGACGCGCCTTGTCCGCTGTTCGTTCACTACGAAAGGGTTGTTTGTTTGTTTTTCTCCCATCATTGCTCTGTCGTCTGCCCCTCTGGCCCCTATCCTCCACTTCTACTAGCTAGACGACCCAACCGGGGTCACATAGGAGGGGGGGGTTGGACCCCCTCCTGCGGTTCATGCCTGAGGTATTTTTATCGCGAGAAGGGTACAGCAATCCCTTCCCTCGCGACTTACGAAGTCGATTATGGTTTACTAACAAACGAGCTTTGCAGCGGGTCGTTTTCATCCTAGACCAGGATTTATTTAATGAGAAAAAAACTCTCTCTGCCGGGACTCGAACCTATGACCTGGCCCTTAGCAAGCTGTGAGGCTACCCACTAGACCACCGGGGCGAAAGGGTGTGCATGTTTGTATCACCTTGAAAAAAGAATAAAAGGCACTCTGATTTCGCTTGCTGCTTGCTTCCGGTTGATCGAATTTGGCTGGACCACAACGGCAGCTTACCTGCCCAACACCAGCTGTCCGAGGATGTATTGGCGCAGGTTAACGGTCCTGTGTTTTCATCCTGTGAAGATCTAATCTCGAGTTTTATATCATGAGAGTTTTCCACGAAAAATGTACAAGGCAGCGAAAGGCCCAACAAAGTCCCGCCTATCATTGAATCGAGTTTTAGGTAACTCTAGTACGTGTGCTGATGCGGGAAGAAAGTAGCGGTGCAAAATGCAGTTTTTTTTTTCCAACAAACTCGAATAGTGCCGAATCGGCACTTTTTGAGGCACTATTCCCAGTAGTGCCGTTGCCTGCTATAGTGCCGATTTTATTTCCGGACACATACCGGCACTATATCGGGTCTTCCACTGTATATCTTGTTATGATTCCGACGTTTGCTCGTTTTTTTCCCTGCACGTGTGGGCCGTGCTTGGTCGGTAGTTGGGTGCCGGCGTCCTCAGCTCAGTCAAGCAGGTTCGCTCGGCGAACGCCCTTGCACGTGTGGCAGGCCGTTGTTTGTTTAGGAGTTCAAGGCGCAACGCAGCCAAAAAGCCGGCGTCCCCTCCTGACAAGAGACATCCGCGTTCGTGCCGTGCGTGGTGGTCAAGATGAGCGTGTGCATGCATACGGAGTACCACGTTTGACCCAAACTGGTCGTCCATGGCCGACTGAATAGTAAAGTGTGCCTGGAGCCGTTCCATTCACCTCAATGTTATTCTAGCGCCACCGGGGATAGCAGGAGCGTGAGCAGAACACAGAGGAGTGCATAGATCGCCTGTACAAGTAGCTCCCAGGCGTCTGTAATTGCTCTGTTCTCCGTGCTTTCTCATGAAGAGATAGCATCATCTGTGCGGCCTGTCACTGCTCCCGTTTCACTTATTTTTTCTGCATCACCGCCCAACTGCTATCCCGTCCGCTTTGCCGCCGTTTTCCGAACCCCGGGCTCATACACCACCAGTCGGGGATGCTGACCATAAATACCCCGGAGCGGCCTGCCTCCGCTCGTTGGGCGAGAACGTTGCATCTGCAAAGCCCTTGGTGCTGTCGAGGGGAAAGGGCGGCGGCAGCACCAGCACAGACAGACTGGATGGTAGAAACGGCCGTGCTGTGACCTCTGGTGATACCGCGAAGACCACGGGAAGTGCTGCGGGACGGCGATGGTAAGCCTTCTTTCCATGTTTTTTTAGTTTTTTTTAATGAGCCTTGATGCGGTGACGTGTTTGTTTGGGCCAGATCCACTACTCTGTGCGTGCGTGTGCGCACGTCGGTCACATTCCAACAACACAGAGGCACACACGCACACACACATGCAGCCCCCCCCCGCCGTGATTGCCCGTTGCGCTCCCCCAGATCATGGCCTACTAAAGTCTACCACTCCAGGATATCGTAGGAACCGTGCAAGACCTGGTCCTCTCCCGTTCGCAAGAACTTTGTTCGTCGTGAATCGAGTTTTTTTTCCTATAGTCTACCCCTGTTGTCCATGAGTGCATGTTGTCATTCATTCTGGACGTGAATTCTACATCGTTCGATATGTTTCTGGAAACATCAGCCTGGGGTCACGCTGGAGGAAAGGCACACAGGAGTTGTCTTTTGGCTCGGCCTTCCTTCTGCGGTTATCACCTTGACTATTTTCTCATCTTAAAAGGATTAAGCCGTCCGTTTCCCTCGTCGAGCATAAGGCGATAGTGCCACTCGCTCACCATAGTTCGTCGGGTATTCAAGCCACGCCTCCGGAGTGGGCTCATCAGAGCATGGTAGTAGTGTCAAGACATGATGCAGGACGAAAGTAAAGGTGCGTGTCGGTGTGGATCAGCTGCCAGCTGACATCAGTGACGTTTCCCAAGCTCAAGGAGTTCACACAGCTGTCGTGTTTTCGACTCGAAGAGCCCAGCGAGCCACAACGAACCCAAAGGACAACTTTGGCGGCATTTGCTGTCCCGAAACCGCTACATGAATCAAGCTTCATGTTCCGCAAGGACTATTTTTTTTGTTTTTCTATGTACGTTTGCAGCGAGGTTCGACTGACAACTTTCCGTGGCCTTGCTCGTTAGTGGCGGATTATGCGTGAGCTCCTTCCATTCTCACCACGTTACCGTAGGTGACATGACACAAGATACCATCCCCCCTGGACTGATTTTACAAGCCCCATTTCTCTACAGCAGATAAGAGTGAATGTGCCGATAATGGGAAGTGGCGGCGTCGGAGCGGTCACGTCGACAGCTTTCCGACAAATCGTCGATTCAAGTAGGCATCCTGTTCGACGTGAAGTAATCGAGCTATCCAGGGTGTGTGATACATACTTCGCATGTCTCCTACGGAAGTACTATTCTTGAGGCAGCAAATGATTTCTCTTGTGCAGGCTCGGGGCAAGGAACAGCGCAAATAATCCCGACGCCAGAAATACGCCAAAAGTTGGCGAGGAGTCTTCATCCGCCGCCCAGAAGGAGAAAAGGCCTCACGCAACCGCCCCAAAGGGCAAGGGGGTATTTCTCAACAATCAACACCGCGTGGGACAAGACGGGCGCAGAGATCGCCATGAAGAAACGCGCCGGCAGGAAGGGAACGGCGGAAATCTCCCGGAACCTACTTCCCACAACGCTGCCGGTGAGGGTCTGCGGGGGGAGCGCTTGCCGGAGGGGTCGTCGTGGCCGGCGAGTAGCCGGGGGTTGAGGGGAGCGCGAGTGAAGCGCGGCACGCCAAAAGGTGGTGAAGTCTACAAGAGTGAACCGCTCCTGGCAGCAGCAGTTGATGCAGGCGAAGAGGTTTTGCAAGGTGGGAGATAGATGGCAACGGACGAGGGCACGCAGGCCGGTGTTGTTTGGTTTGAAGGTTATTTGGGGATCGATGTTGTTGTTGTTGTTGTTGTTATTTTGCCGCGGATTTTGGTGACATGCTTCTTCCTATCGTTTTGTTATCGGAAGTGCAGCTCACACTGTGTTCTTGGGCAAGACATTCCCATGGATCCCGCGATTCTAGTCTTGGCTATGACGTCTTGCTGCGGTTTCTTGATTCATTTTCCCTTTCGACAATGCGAGCCCTCTGTTTCGAACCGATTCGTTTTTTTTTTCACGTGACGATGCGCATTGAAATGGTCGGGCTTTTTGTGTACAACTGTATTCCGACGAAGGAAGGAGGAGGAGGTGGCACTCTGCTCAAAGCCTGCGCCGGATGCTGTTTCCCAGATGCCCCGCCGGTAGGCCTGAACGCTGAGGGAGCTGTAACGTTCGAGAAACTACCTCCGGCGCCGCCCGCGCCCGACACAATCGGCGTGCTCGATGAAAAAGAGAAGGAGTCTCCGTGGAATGAACCGACCCCCCCCCGGTGGGGGCGGAGGCCTATGGTGGGTGCGAAAATCGTTCATTTTCGTTTCCGAAGTGTTATCCGAGATGAAATACTACATGCGGTAAATGCGGTACAGCAGTACTTGCCGCAGGTGGAACGTGGTCGAGGTGAAAAAAAAAAACTCGTTTCGTTGTTGCGGCTAAGCTGCTCGGCAACCAGAGTTTGTTTTTTCAGGGGTGAGAGCCTAGACGCTGTTGCCTTCGTACGCACGACCTTCAAAGGGCCCCGTCACGTCCTTGGCAACTTAATTTGTTTCAGAACCTTTTTGCAGTTCTCCACGTCATGTGTTTCCCGTCAAGAAGCTGCCCAACAACGAACGACAAGCTGGTTGTTTCCCGTTTTTCATGTTTTTTTCCCGACGCCACCACCCCTTGCGTTCAAACCCTCTAAAAACCATTCCGTAAAACCCCACTCCATATGAGGGACCTTGTTTGACAGTCTTCCTCTGAAAATTCCCTAGGCGTTGAGTCGCACAGAATAAGACAAGAGGTACATGTATGCTCTTTTGATGTTAAGACACCTGTTGGAGAAGAAGGAAAAAATTATCGGTATTAATGTGCTGCAGCAGGCCACCAGGCCATATGCACACACTGGTGTCTCGCCGTATAATGTAGCCCTTTCTTGCCTTCCTACGACGCCGCCGCTGCTTTTTGTCGGGCAGCCTGAACACATCCCAAGCGAAGAGGAGATGGAAGCGTGGGATACCAAAATGGCAGTGTTCGACACGTGGCTTGATCGGGCAATCAACGGCGTCATGGGGTCGTTGTTTGGTGGGGGTGACGACAAGGTCGACGGCGACTAGCCGAGGAAGAGGTATCCTTCCAGGGCATCCCGATTGCGCTGCGAGGGAAGAAAGATGCACGAAAATCTTGGAACTTTTTTTCGAGTCTTGAAAATGTCCATCAATCGAAGCTTGTCCTCCAGACGAGTCACAAGCGCATCTTCGCATCGGCGGCAGATCGTACTCGAAACGATTGCGTGTCGAGGTCAAGCACGATTGATAAATGGACTCGGTCGCGTTTGTCCCGAGCCCCGCTTTCACGTCGCTGGGACGGGGGGAGCATTTCACTCCAGATTAAGCCTTTGCGGTTGGTTGGATGATACCTGAAACCCAACCCCTCTCTTGTCTATCCTCGCTAGGGTTTGTGTTTTCATTGTACCGTGTGGCGGATTTCCGTATTCTTAAGCCCGCTGCTGCTGATTGGGGTCGGTCGGCATCGCCAGCAGCTTTCAACCGACCAACCGAAAGCTCGAACAAATGCGATTGCTGCTTGCCACTGGGATGGGCAAAGATCGATCGGGGCAGGAAAGCGAGTGGCGCACCTTACACCTGCCTGTTGCGATGATAGGGAGATTTGGGTTTTCTGCTGCACGACGTGCAGGATGGCTCGTGGCAGAATGGGAGAACAACGTCTACCCTGCGGAACGGAAATGTAGTAATACTCCATGACAGGTTCGAAACGAGCATGCCTACTGCCATGATTTTTTTTCCAAGACTGTGCACGTAGAGGACCCGTTGCTGTGCGCGTATCCGCTTGACAAAACTCGACTCGTTGTGCTTCCAATGACTTCACCAGTTTTGCAGTACTCGAATCGTTGTGCTTTCAGGGACTTGAGGAGTTTTTGGTCAGGGGTGACAGCCAAGGGGAAATAATCCACCGTGGATGTGCCGAAACTGTGCGTCGTTGCTTGTTGGCGTCGCCGTTTGTCCGGCAAAAAGTTGCGGAGCGAGAAAGTGAATGTTGTCTTCGTGCACCATGTGCTGCTCGGACGAGTTTATGACGCACGTGGACGGAAAGCAGTAAGTAGACGCATCGGCATCTTCGGCAGGGGAAAATACCTCGGTCTTGTGGAACGAGCTGTTTTCTTTTACGGTTTCCATGTGTGCTTTCTCCCAAGCCTTGTACTTGTGACGCTTATCCCGCTTTCGCTAATGGTATCCACGTGTCTCATGAACCTGACATCTGTGCTTTTTGGATACGGAACCCAACGGAACAGGCGATGAACAGCGAATGCTCTGAAGCCGTTGTGGTAGTTGCCTGAACACGCTTCCGGGAAGGCCGGAGTCCTGCCTTGCACCTCTGTGTCGAAGTATACATGCCTCACTCGATCTCGGCGGAAAGAACCGCTTTCGCTGATGGTATCCACGTGTCTCATGAACCTGATATCTGTGCTTTTTGGATACGGAACCCAACGGAACAGGCGATGAACAGCGAATGCTCTGAAGCCGTTGTGGTAGTTGCCTGAACACGCTTCCGGGAAGGCCGGAGTCCTGCCTTGCACCTCTGTGTCGAAGTATACATGCCTCACTCGATCTCGGCGGAAAGAACCGCTTTCGCTGATGGTATCCACGTGTCTCATGAACCTGATATCTGTGCTTTTTGGATACGGAACCCAACGGAACAGGCGATGAACAGCGAATGCTCTGAAGCCGTTGTGGTAGTTGCCTGAACACGCTTCCGGGAAGGCCGGAGCCCTGCCTTGCACCTCTGTGTCGAAGTATACTTCACCGACTGCTGTACATTTAGAGTGAAGGGAAATATGCATATCCCTTGACCTTTTGCGCGCGAGGGACAGCCGGGCTGGAAGATCCGTGGGAAGAAAGTTCTTGAAAAATCTGCGCGGTTCCACTGAGCAAGCGGCTTGCGCACAGCGCACCCCGGGTGAGACTCAACGTGCGTCATGTTGGGTGCGGAGTGCGTCGAAGAAAGTTGACGAATTTACCATGTAGTTTTTTTTTTTTTGCCCTCCGACAATTGCAGATTTACCTCAGAAAACTTTCACTTGATGTCTCATACTCTACATGAATATTAAACCAATACGAAGTACAACAACACATATATGTAGGACTAATTTCTACTGTCACTTACATCGTAAAAATATCTCCTCTTGAACTTGAAATAAAACCAATGACAATCCTCATGGTATCCTATATGCGTTCGTAAGCTTGCTAAAATACTACTGCGTTGATGTTCTCTTGTAAAAGCTGAAATCCAACAAATGCGTTGATTCATGCTACATCTCCGTGTTGGAAAAGCCCTTTCTTCTCCGTTCATGATAACATCTTACCCTATTCTTTGCAAATCTGTCACATCTACTCTCAAACAAGACGCCAACTTCAAACGAAAACGCGTTCTACGATGCGTCTGCACTCGTTGCAAGCACTTCGCGTTGGAACGGAAGGACGAGGCACGGCGTATTGCGTGTCGACTGCGGTCGGTGTCGCATGCATACTGCTGTTGACATGTAGCAGGGGAAGGCAAGTCTCTCCGCTACATTCAGCAATGTTGCAGACGATGTGTATCCTTCCTAACGGCCTGAAGGCCTTCCGTACGCGTTGTATGGCTGGGTGGACGACGTGCTGGAATCGTCTGGTAACCACATGCAATCCCAAACATACAGGACGTGTTGAGGGTGTTGGCTGCTGTTTACATTGCGGAGACAACAGCAGTTCTCTCTGCCGCTCCTCCTGTGCTTGGGTGCTGGTGTGCACACGCGGCTGTCGTGAATGTCCCACGGATCGATCAAGCGCCATACTCGTGAACTCGCCAACGCGCGACCTAACGTCCGAGCCGTACCACATGTGAGAGACGTGCTTGAGTTAAGGTCCACACTAGAGTTGGATATCGATTCAAACATTGATTCGACACGATATCCGCCCGTGTGTTGGGATTTGTATGCAAGAACTGACTCTATTCTACTGCATGGGTTTTGTGCAGTAT